AATCTCGTGGGGTTACTATTTCGTAGCCATTGGAGATGGCTATTTGCCGAGCCAAGTCACGCGATTCTTCCTTTAGTTCCGTGGTAGTGCACACAGAGGTAGCTGTTCGAAACATGTTTCTCACAATCGCCCTCTTTGTGTGTGAAGGGTGGGAAGAAAGGAAATGAACAAGGATGTTCTTGTTACTTGGCTTTCGATACCACTTTGTCAGGTAACCGCTACTTGATAGGTTTATTTGGACGTCCAAAAGCGGAAACCAGTTTTCTCTCGGTTTNAGTGCACACAGAGGTAGCTGTTCGAAACATGTTTCTCACAATCGCCCTCTTTGTGTGTGAAGGGTGGGAAGAAAGGAAATGAACAAGGATGTTCTTGTTACTTGGCTTTCGATACCACTTTGTCAGGTAACCGCTACTTGATAGGTTTATTTGGACGTCCAAAAGCGGAAACCAGTTTTCTCTCGGTTTCTCCCTGGTGAACTTTATGTACTCGGACTGCTCGTTCAATAATTCAAAGCATTTGTCCATCTCCTCCTGCGTAGAGAAGAACAAAACAATCTTCTACATATCTGCAGTAGAGTAGAGGCCGGAGATCGAGAACAGGGGCTTCTATCTTAGACATAAACACAATGGCAAGGCTTGGTGCCAGTCGCTGTCTCATTGCCAACCCCCTTATTTGCGCGAAATATTTCCCAGATCATCTGAAAATCGAACAGTTTAGGCAGTCCTTTAAGAGAGCCATTAACTGCTGTATGAACAAACCATGCATATTTATTCTTCCTTCATGTTCAACATGAAGTTCGAAGATGGCTTGCATTGCGGAGTCATTCGATACGTTGGTGTACAGTGCGGTAACGTCGAAAGACTCCATCACGTACGCGTTATTAGGAGACGCGTTACGTAGACGTTCTAGGAACATTTGGGTGTTCGTGAGGTGAGCTGGAATGTGGTTAAGCAACTGGGTAAGTATCAGGCTTAAAAAACAGGTTATTCTATCCGTTGGCCCGTCTACACAGCTGATGATCGGTCTAACCTTAAATGATGACGGATTGGTTGACGCATGATCATCAGGTGATACCAACTTATGTGTTTTAATAAGTAGGTATAGGACGGGACATGTTGGTCTATCGATTTTAAAGTGCGAAATAACCGATGATTTTAAACCTGCAGCCTTTGCCACGCTGATCCATTGATTGTTTAGCTTTCCGTATTGACTTTTATATTCCTTTTCAGAGGATGGGCGATAGAGAGTAGCATCACTAAAATGTTCCTCTGTTATCTCAACATCCAGGCTGGCGAGGGATAACTACGAACTCTCCCCCCTTATCACTAACAGGCAATCTTATTGTTTTCGAGTTTATTAATTCTCTAATTTCCCGTATGCCACATTTTTGTGCGGCTGTAAGGTTAGAGATAGACTTTCTATCGAGGTAGTTGTCAAGGGTCTTTAGAACGCCGTCCGAAAACACGCGGAATTTTATGTCAACTCCATGGTTAGGGTACTGCTATCTAAAAAACGTTTTAGGAAAAGGAGATGGTGGTATCTGTGAATCGTTTGGTCTTCGTTGGCGGTGTTTCTGTATGCTCTTGAAGCCGTGTTATGCGATTTACTCAAAAGGTTTTCGAATTTTCTTCGCAAAGTTACTTTAGCATTAGACCTAATAGAGTTGCAAATCAACACTGACCCATCCACTATTCTCCTCCAGAGGCGGTCCTCCAAATACTGAGCACAATAGTTTTCTTTCTTTTCGCACTTCTTCCGCTTAACGAACATCTGGTTTTGTTTGCTTCGTAGACAGGTGCGCAGTAGTTGCAATTCGATGTCCAGTACTCGGTGGTCATCCTCTGGTAGTCCGCATACTTCGTGTAGTCGTTTTCTTTTTATGAATTTTGGAACGACTTGGTGTTTTATGCAGCGGGAGGGGCATATTACGCTTCCATGTGAATTCTGTGCGGTCGGTCTTCACGCGACATACTCAGTGGAAGACTCATAGAAAGCGCTGAGTGTGCAAAGCTGTGTTCAAAGTGATTGAAATCTTGGTTTAGCGTTTTCTCTGTTTGGTTATGGAGGTGTTTGGCCGAGTGGATTGCTGTCGACTTGACCCTTCCAGGCTCTGAGGGAGGCGAAATTCGCCGAAACGTCAGGTTGTGCGTAAATAAAGAAATAAAGTAGCACTTCGTGTTTGCTGAACAGAAGTAGAATGAAATTATAACGTTGAAAACATGTTAAAAATTCAGTTTTCATTACAACTCAAAAGATCGGCTTTCTATAAGCGTTGGCATAGTAATCGATAAATCCCTATATGTGTTCTTAGGAACTGCCCTTTCTTTAGCCGACGCGAAGTTGGTACGTTATTATAGTTGCTGTTGTCGTTCAATGGGTGACGTTTGCCTCAGAGCCTTGCCGTTGGACCACCCGTGTGTCGTTCACGAGGGATGATGATCATTGTATAGGTGTTCTTACAACAACAACAACAACAACAACAACAACAACAACAACAACAACAATAACATCTCTACCAACCTCGAGTCGGCTAAAAAAAGGCAATTCGTAAGAAGATACATGCAGTTTTCATTATAATTCAGTTGTATAGAACGAAAGTGCATAAAATAAAGTGTGCATTTATACGTAATAGTACAGCGTTGGAAAAAAATTGTTGCTAAGACATGTACAAGGAAGATGAAATAACAAATCGCGCATTGATTTCTAAACAACCTAGTAGTTATGGAATGGTTCATACTCCTCGAAGTGTATTTCTTCTTTTAGGCGCTGAATTCTCAAAATCAGACAAGCACTCCGCAGATGGCATTTCTATTCGATTTCCACGTGTGACACGCATCAGGAATGACAAGGATTGGAAGACCGCCACCAGTCTTTCTGAGCTGAAGGTTTTTCTTATTGTTTTGCAGTGGAACTAATTTCATCTTAATCTTTCACTTCTTCGATTTGTCACTCATAATTATTTTAAGGTTTTTCGTAAGTTTTTATGTTCTTAAGGTTTTTAAAGAATTTTTCCGTAGCCGTTAAGCTGGAGTAAAAGCTGTGTGCGAAAGTAACAGCATTTTAGAGAGATTTTAAAAGCTTCCAAGGTTATCTAGAAAAGTCACAGATTTCCATGTTTTGGTTACGGAATGATGAAAAGTTTTGCTAAATTCTTCTATTCTTTTCTCGTGGACGCATTATATGAGAGAATTCGAAGCTACCCAATAAAAGTGCTCAAATTTCTTTTGCATTTTTATCGTAGTGTTTTTGAATTTTTTCATTCCTTCATGTTTTTTTAATACTTAATTTTAATTTAAGGTTTATCCGAAATTCACTTTTTTAAGTCATAGAAAATCCTTCATGTCTCTTGACATGTTTCCTTTATATGAAATCGTTCCTGTAGAGGCACATGTTGCATACTGGCTAGAGTGTGCCCTATAATAAAATCTCGGTCGTTGGTTCGAACCTACGCCTTGTGTTAATCAACTCTGACACTTCGGAATCTGCGCATTGGTACCAAATTTGTCTGGATGGATAAACAGCTGACTTGCTGCATCCGTGTGTCACTTTTGTAACCCGCGTATGTATTCAGTCACTTCCGCGAAGCAGAATCAAGTGTTCTCTTGAAAAAGTCTAATAGCTAGGGTATTGATTACTATCGAAACCTCATTGGAGATGGTCGTATTCGCATTTTGGTTCTTTGACAACCTGAATTGTGATTGAAACTGCGAGTATAACTGATTTACGCTTAGAGCGAATACGTTTGAATACCTTTTTGGTGGTCATATTCAAGGGCTTTTTGGTTTGTTCTGTCTGTTCTATTCTCGTTACACGACTACCACAGATCCAAACTTAGATAACTAAATTGGTTTGAGTACTGCGGTGCACCTTCAGAAGATATCGTCAGGTGTTTTGCGAACTGAATATTACCATTTTTTCTAGAACAAATTATACATGGTATAACAACAGATTTCTATGACCTTCATTGTTGTTTGTATGTGCTCTATGCAGTGTAATTCATTTCCAAACCTAGATCGCTCTATTAACCAGGTTTGTTCCAAATTTCACGAGGCCAAGTCAAGCTAATTTTCGTGAAGCTTATAGAGCACAATTGGGCATCCAGTTGTTTGATATTCGTTACATCTGCGTGGCGTCATTTGTTCTGCAGTAAGAGGGCATTTACATGGTACTCTCCAGCTCGTAGAAGGTCGGCCAACATATCACGTGACGCGGGAACAACGCATTCATGTTGCAGCTTGAACTTTTGAGGAACGAAAGAAACGTGCTGATTTCTACACTTCTTGAATTTGATTCGTTTCCTCAGATTCCTATTCCACCAACGTCTTTAGACTCGCGTGCGACTTCGGCTGTTCGTTGAAGATTTCTTCTGTTCTCTGTGAATGTCGTTAAATGCTGACTGAGGCGATTCTCCCTGGAGTCCTGAGAATCGTTCCTGTAGGGGCACATGCTAGCTAGAGAGTGCCCCATAATACCATCTCAGTCGTTGGTTTGACCCAAAGCCTTGTGTTAATCAACTCTCACATTTCGGGATCTGCGAATTGGTACCAACTTTTCTGGGTGGATAAACAGCTGGCTTACTGGATCGTTATGCCACTTCCTTGTGTAGCCCACTTATGCATTCAGTCACCTCCACGATTTCACGCAGTTCTTTTCGCAAGGCCTTATGTTCTTCTTCTTGTCTTATAGTTAAAAATAAAAAGCGTCTGTCGTTGCCATGATTGACGATGTGTTAGCAGCCTTGCTATAATATGTTAAGTGGTCTAATTTTTAGAGGCTGTACGAGTGCTCGAAAACTAAAAGCGATATTGACCACTCATACGAAGATGAGACGCCACTCTACGTGAGGAAAGTGCTGGATCAAGGTGATCTTGAAAAAGCAGAAGAGCCCAGTACGGAATCGATGGATACGAGCGTTGAATGCTCGACTTCAAATGGGAGAAAACGGGAAACCGGAGATGTATCACTGATGCCAGAGAAGAAAAAAGCAAGAAAAGAACAAGATGTTGAACAGTGTCCACCAGGAAAAACACCGTGCAAGTAAGTTTTCCTAACATCGAATTATTTGAGAATGACGCCTACAAAGGTGTTACATTACTAATAAATTACTACTTAGAATTGAAACTTTTTACTATCAACGTTACTGTTTTCACAACAAGTAGAATCGTTTCCAATTTAAGAACGATTAGTGACTTTTATCTTAAAAGAAAATACCCTTAGGTAGTTGATATTTCTGGAAAGTAGACATATCATCTTATAACATTTTCTATAGTGGGTATTTTCATGAAAAAATAGTGTAGGAAATGTCATCATCCATTTCGTCGATAGGAGTAGAATGCTCGATTTTGAGCGGTCAACTAGAAATGTTCTACCTCGACTGAAACACATCGCTATGATTAGTTGGCGTTGGAGACGGAATGTGTGGAATGTGTGCGCTCTGGGCAAAATGGATGAATTGTGTTGCACCCAATGCATCGTCTTTTCGGTGGCTTTTTTCTTCACACTGTATATATTCAGTCGATAACTCAGTAACGGAATTAGATTGAGTGTTGCCCATGAAAACGTATTCTCTATACTTAATAAATTATAGGTGTTCTAAGTGTTTCTTAATAAAATGCAAGTGCACAAGTGTGTCTCCATGTTTCCGGCGTACTGATTCTGCTTTCTTCAAGGACATGAGAATTCAGCAGCATGGAAGTCGTTGTACTTCCAGCTTAACGCAAATGATGGAATCTTCCATGCCCTTATGTTAAAAAGAACCTCCTTGATTAGAGCTTTTACTCATCCGCAGTTTGGATGAACTAAATAAAAGTGTTCCCTTATGAACTATGAATCTTATTCTACTGCAACACTATTATGATGCTCCGATCCTGCTTTGCTTTACATTGTTCCATTTTCAGGTTTGTTCAGTTGACCTGATTAAGAGGTTACTTCTTGTTTTCCCTACAGCTGCTGATAAGGTGCGTTTCTCTACGCACTAAAGTCGAGAGTAAACGAAGTCCTACATACTAATTATTGATATGGAGACGTCTTCTTTCATCCAAAAAATTGAGTGTGATCTTTATTGCTACTATGGCTGAACGGCATCTCCAGTTATGAAGCGGTTACTGCTTGTGTACATACTTGAAACTTGATACTTGAATTGTCCGCCCTCACTGGTTGTACGGGTCCCAGCATGATCTCCATTTTTCGGAGATTTGCTGGTTAAGCCATTATGGTTCCCTGGAGTCCCGAGGACAGCCTGGCCAAAGTCTGCCACAGGTTGTCACCACAACAGGCATTCGCAGCCCTTGTGGATCAGAGAGAGATTTGCCAGTGGGTCAGAGACAGATTTGTCACCATGCGACTTTGATACCGGGACGGTGGTGGATCATGGTATTGGTTTACTCTTAGCCAGGCTTCCAGATGGAAATGCCGGCTCCTTCTCGGCTTGGGAGACCCTAGCGCGGGACGAATCCCCTGCTGTACATCGCAGTCCGACTCCCAGGAACACTACCCAGCCACGATGAGGCGCCAAACCGTTGGGAGGTTATGGAGACGTCTTTTTTCATCCAAAAAATTGAATATAGTCCTTATTGCTACTATGGTTGAACGGGATCTCCAGTTATAGAGTGTTTGCTGCATTTTGCAAATGTAGAAAACTCTTGGGATCAACTTGAATATAATGAGATTACTTATGTATGACATACTGGCGGTACACAAGTGTCTCTACCTCTAAATAGTATGAACGATTCGTCAACACACAGAGTCTATGTATCCAGCTGCAGTTCCTACTTATAAGTTCAAGTTGCGATCTGATCTTACACCAGCCTTCTCCTCCATCATACATTTCATTTAATCAGAAAAATGGAGGCTGCTGATAGAATTTCGATTTTATCCCTTGTCACAATATTAGATGCAATAGGATGAAATGCAAGAGCAAAGCTGGAAATCCAGTAGTCCATCAATTGTGAAATAGAATTGTCACCTTAAAGCAGAGGGTAATGGATCCTTTCATCTCGTGAACATTTCTCTGTTTCCACAACAGATTTCCACGGAAATCTTTCTGTACTAAATCTTTGGTTCGACTCATTGACAATCTTCTGCTAAGCGTCATGCATATAATTCACAAAACCTTTCATGTCTCCATTTTGAAGCAAAAGCTTTCGATCCAGACCATATCGACTACCATTGTATAACTAATAGTCGTGAGACAATACGTTACTAGGCCACTCATCACTTATTTCGTCGTTGGTACCTCCATTCTCTTTTTGGATTTACTTTCTTTAAACTCTTCTATGAAAAGCACTATAAGTTTCATATTGTCCTCAACATATTCAGTTTCCCCACTATCATTTTAAATAAGTTCATTTGTGTTAAATTTGATTCGATGTTCGAAAATTTGTAGCTCTACACCGACAGAAGAATGTGTTGTATGAGCATGTGTAGTCTTCAACTTCTCATATGCTTTACTTATCGAAAAACTGTAATGATTTGTAGAAAAGCCATCATAATCCATTATTTGAGGCATGTGAAGTTCAGTTCTTGACTGGCAGTTAATTGTTATTTCATTTCCAGTACCTACGATGGGCCTTCAGTTCTTGGCTGGCCTTGTTTTCATTTTATTTTATTTTTTTTTTTTGATCCGTCTTCACGTCTGTTGTGCGGATCTCAGCACTTCTCACATTCGATTCGTTTCTTCGCATCCACTGTCCGCGAAGATCTTCCAACCTTTACGTGTGGCTTCTGTTGCTGCTTGAGGATTTCCATTTCATCTTGAATGTTGTAGAATGCTGGTCGAGCAATTCTTTCTGGAGTCCTGAGATAGTCCAGCTGGTGTTTTTTGTGTTTTTTCCCAAATAAGTCCGGTACTAATTTCCCGACCACGGAGCAATGGGAGGCTTGGTTGCCTCGTTGCGGAATCGAATTAGCACCATGCTCATGATGACGCACATCACTACCACTGTGCTATCTATCTCCTCGGTTGGTGATTGACTCATTTCATTTCCAGTAGTTACGATAAACGTCATAGTGCTGAAAATAAATGTTTGATTCAACCATAAGTTCAAGACACTTCCAAATCCTGACAGCTATGTAGCTGTGTGGCAAAAGGATAAAAGAATAAAGTTCTCGACGTTGATCAATCGACGTTGAACTCTGACAAATACATGAGGGATGCGCCATACATGAGGGATTCGACTTCATCGAGCATTGTCAGAGGTCACTGAGTGCATATCTGGCCTTTACAATGATTCTTGGTGGCCCACCAATGGATTGAGTCTGTGCTGCTATTCTCAATACAATATGTAGCCTGTACAAGTTGTGTGGTAGCCGATATCAGCGTGTAATTACTAGCATGTGTGCACTATGCGTTACTTTTAATTCTGCGCATCTTCCAGTTATCGAGAAATTATCTATCGAAAGATTTGTTATCGAGGAACCGATATTGTTCAATACAAGTTGTGCTTGAAGGGTAGACTTGTTTTTCAACGGACGTGAAGCTAGGTGTCCTCCTATGTGGCAGCCACATAGAATAAAACGTTATTTGTCTTTTAACAGGATATGTTTACTTTTTCTAATAGCGCAGACTATTGAAGTTCTGGAGGCGACGTATTCTTCGAAGGCAGTCCGATTGAGGATTTCTATTAACCAATTCCGGTGTAAGCACGTTGCAATTCTTGATGAATTTCATCGCTATCGTGACATTGCTTTCTTCCCTGGTGTCGTTGTTTTGTCACATTTCGGAAATTCGTGATAGTTTATCAGGACAACGTAGTGAGCACAACCCTTTCTTGATAGAAGTTCGGCTTCGGGAAGTGTTTAGAAACTTCATCTTGGTTCAACTATTGTAAGAAACGCTGGTAGAAAATTCGCCTTCGATGGCATTATTTAAACATGATTTAAGAGCTGGCAGTCTTTCTTATGCGGAAGAAGCGTGGAGTAGACTTCATGATAACAACCCTTTAGTTCTTCTTCGACTTTCTTCGTTTTTCCAGTTTTTTTTTTTGAGTAGTACACATAAACAATGTAAGCACAAATGCTTATAAAAAATCGTTCTATAAATTTGGTAAGGATTATGACCATTGTTTTCATGCCATCGTAGTACAGTATAGCTGATAACAACTGTAATACAGCTGGCATACGCGAAGAAGTGTGTGCAGTAGTGATTTCGCTCTAGGTATGGTGCTGATTGTTACCGTAAGAACAAAGACCATAAAGCCGAGTTCTGGCATCCATCGAAGAAGTGATCGGTGGTAATTTGTCTTATTTATCCCTATGTACGTTTGGCAGATTTCTGTGTCGAGACAGGTTAGTTCTTTTCGTTTTCACTGATTTCTGGATTTCTCTGAGCTATCCAGATACGGTTGGAATGAGAACATTTCGACTGTAGGACGGGTTGCATTTATAAGAGTAGGTTCTGCATTACTTCACTGAAAGATGTTTGCGATTTACAAAGTGGTTCATTGTTGTAGATCTGCACAATACATTTTCTGTATGAAACGCAAGGTCTTTGGTTATAGTTTCAGGTAATTTCAGAAATGACAGCGCAAGAAATGTGCTGTTTGTAGAAGATTAGATGAAAAAAGAAGAAAAAGCATCACATCAACAATAATTTGCCATCAGGACCATTTGGTTTTGCTTGACGTAGCAGATATGTTAAGGAGTTGTTGCGTTCTTTAATATTTCATTCGTCATTACCCTGTTTGCGTTCCACCTGTTTTGTTGAATACCTGTTGCTCCTCCTCTTCCTACCCTTCCTCTCCTCTCCCTGTAAAGCTTTATGTCATTCTTTGCATTTGTGTCATATGAAGTTTTTTTGTCGTTAAATGTCGTATTTTTGTACTTTTTTCTGTGCAAGAGCAGGTTCATGCGACGATTTGTCAGGTCTACAGAGGACCTAGAGAGGCAATGCGATTTGGCTGTAAGAACTACGTGAACGTGTTCACTTGGCTTTACGTAGTTTTCAGTCGGTAGTCTAGCAAACGTCATTGTTGGCTTGTGAAGAGAACAGATGTCGCAAGTCCCATTCCAATACAGATTTTGTAGTTCGCAATATCTTAAAAGATGTATTACCTTTAGTTTCCAATAGTTATGTAGCAATGCATATGATGTGTTATTTCCTGTTGTGATGCGTTCATCTACATGTACCCCTAATAAATGTAGCAGTTATTGTTTCTTCTTGAAGTAATGGGTTGGTTGTGTTTAACCTCATCTTCAGTACTGCCGATGAACTTATTTGGTTTGCGTAACTCTCTCGTTCGTAGCAGAGTCAATAGTTCATCAGGATTTCGGTACAGGGTTATATTACCAAGTAATGGTTTTGCTCCACGGAAGGGATTCTGAGATCTTTTCATAACGTGGCTAGATGGAAAAAGTGCCTGGTATTTCGGTCTTGGAATTGAAATTTTAAAAAATATTCTTAATGTTGAAATTAGTTTGGCAGATAGAAAATGTGCATGCCCTGTTCATTTCACAACAGCGATCATTGCTAGGTTTACTAATACACGACAAGGAAGTTGGACCAATACTATTGTCCGCCGGTAGTTGTAGAATTGTCATCATTATCAGTACGAATTGTGCGCGTATTGCTGATGTTGATGATTGATAATGGTACTGATCGATAGAAAACTAGCTGAGGGACAGGCGAAACGAAGGACCCGCATGGTGTGATGATGAGCGTGGTAGCCGCCGAAAAGGGCAATAGCGCGTTCGTTCCCCACCGCAGACACCTATGTCCTCGAGTTCTGCAAATACCTCAGCATCATTACAGTTGTATTTCACATAGCACCCTGCCGTGAAAAACTGTAATAGGTAGAGAATAAAAAGTTAACGTTGTGCACGTATTCTAGTATTTTTCAAAAAGTGCTAACCAACTTCGTCAAAACCACAATGTTTAGTTCCTGTTTACTACCTATTCTGTTCTCATGGCAGGGTGTTACGAGAAATACGACCGCAAGGATGTTGAAACATGAGCAAAACTCAGGACCTCATTCGGACTTCGAACCCGCGATTACGGGTGCTCCGTCATACCAACCTACGTCTTAAAAAAACCCATACCTACGTCTTTGGTTTTCCTAACTTCACCTGGCTATACTGCTCTATACATTGATATATTTGGAGAGAAAGTCAAAACTCTGAGGCTTGTAATTCCCAAGGCTGACTTTCTATTAGCCTGAGCACAAGTGGGTAAGTTGCTGTTTCCATTTTTTTTCTTTTTTTTTTTTGATGAGTAGAGGCGAGCTTGTTACCGCAAATTCACAGCACTTAACGTTTCGACGGTTTCTCATTCCTAGCCTGGAAAAGTCAAATCGATACGCAGTGTACTCGGCCAGAACCTTCCATAACGTCGGCAGGAAGAACCCAGATTTCAATCTCATAGGAAGATTCTTTTAAAGAGTCACCTGTTTTGTTACTCACACGTTCTCCACTCCGCACAGAGTTTACATGGGTGAGGAATGTGATTCTCTTAAAAAGCATTCCGAGATTTAGGGCAAGGCCATGCTGTCGTTCAAATCCACAAGGTGAACGGTGTCTTTTTTGTGTTGGAAGTGATTGAAGACAAAATAGATCTATTAGGCTAGCATTTAAGCCGTTGCTGCTCGGTGGTCTGATTGTCGTTCAGAATTCTTTTCTTCACGTTTGAGCCAGTTCATACCCAGTTGTTGCGTGTTTTGAAACACATTCTGTAGCAAGAACATCAAGGTTAGTGCTACAGCAGGAGAGTGATGGTCGTGAAACAGCGTACAGCAGGAGGGAGAGCGCCGTCAAGTGGTCGCGTGCTGGATGGAGTCGCTGGTGCGATGAGGGTCGCAGCCGCTGACTTCGAACCAACACAACAGCGACCACCCAGACGCCGCATCCAAACTGCTGGCCGGCTAAGGTGCAGAGTTTCGGCTCGGCGAAAGCCAAATGCCAACCATGGTTATGGAGGTGCTTGATGTCTCAGTGCTTTGGATATATAAAACCACAGATGAAAATAGGGGTAAAATTGGCAGCGATTTGTGTTCCAAGCCAGTCTGTCTGCGTTGCACGACGTACATGTCAATCGCAAATTATCAACTACCGACACGCCACTGATGAAGTGGAGTTGGCAACGTTGATATCTTCGTTTGCCTGTCCGTAGACTTTTTTGCTTTTCTTCTCTTCACGCGCGGTATGGAGAGTTCCTTCCTTGTTCGGGCATCCTGGGGCGCACTCCGTGCCGTCTCGCCAATATCTGCGTTGACGGCGACAGACACTTTCTGTCGTTCCCACGTCCATAGCGCTTATTGTTCAGGCAGTGTTTTGTTTTTTCCTAAGTTGTATTGAGGCGTCGATGGACGTGTGAGCTTCTCGTGTTTCATCACGTTTGCTCTTCCTGAACAACGGAAACTTTCATTGTTGTTGTTGTTGTTTAGGTTGTTTTCCTTACGAGAGCTTTCATGTAATAAACGTTTTCTTCTTCTTAAAAGCTTCCAAACTTCAGAATATCAGTCACATGGATGACATCCTTTATTGCGAGTGAGCGCCATCGAAAACTTGGTTCATCAGCCATGAAGGAGTTGTTTTTAAGTATTCTATGGCGCTTGGATTTCTTTTCTGGATTTTGTTCCGCTGCAATATTTCGGATTCATCGTTTTTCCTTTTGACCGCGGTGGCCTATAGATGCACCAAGCCAGTGCTGCTATCCTCCCAGACAAGTCTGGTACCAGTTAGCCAACCCCGGAGCGATAGAACTCTCGGTGAACCTTGGGTGCGTGGATTGATCCCGTGTATATTGCAGAGCACGTCCGACGACTGCTCCAGATGCGCCCTTTTTTAGCTTTATAATATTTCTAATTCTTTTTTTCCTTTTCTCGAATAGTTTAACAATTTTAACGTAATCTCTATGCCAAAAACAGCATGGTGTAATACTCGAAACTGATTCTGTCCACTGTTTCTCTCAGCACCCTCAGTACGAGAGCAATCTAAGATGAAATTCTTGTTACCTTCAAGGTACTCATCGTGCAAAGCCTTTGTTGTGACCAGTTGCTGGAGTTTTTTCTTTCTCAGTGTTTCTTCGTTTCCTCTCGTTTAGCTACTTAAACAGTCCTTCAACCTTAAGGCAACAACATTTCAGGGATGATCATGCTAGCAAGAAAGATATGCTCCTTCACTCTGGATGTTTGCAGAACGGCTTCAACGTTCAGGTAATAGTTATCTTCATATTGGATATATATATATATATATATATATATATATATGGGATATACTTATCATCGCTAGTTATGAAAAACAACCGGTTTCCCGTGAGATCTTACAGGAATAGTCATGAGAATAGAATACGAGGGATTTCTTTTTCAGTGGCTTAACGTCCGAACAATTCATGAAGAAGGCGACTAATGAACCAGTGCTGGAGTACAGAAGAGGCAGCGCGGAGAGAACAGCGCTCGAAAAGGAGTTGGATGCCATGTGTAGAGTTGGTAGCAGTTAGAATTTACAGATAGGTTTCTGTTTGTATCACTAGTTGGCGTATTCTTACAGACTCCTACGATTGTTCCTGTTTGTATTGGCACAAGAAAGATTACAGACGATTATGCTTTAACCCATGTGATGGTAAGTTTACCATATCTGGGTTGTGTTTATCTCATCTTTTATTTTTCTTAGGAACCTGTAATAACCACCTAAAATGTGGCAGTAATTTAAAATAGTCGTTCAGTTAGTGCTCATACTTCTCACTATCACTTTTCGAAGTGATTATTTTTTATTGAGCAAAAGAAGCTTCACAATTATTATATGTCTTAGCCGTAAGTCCTCCCGCAAAATTTCAAGAAAATGGCCAAGCTGTGGGTTTTTTAACGATCAACGACTTTTGAATCCCGTTGTTTATTTCGTTGCAATATACCGAAGATGAAATAAGGGGCTCGTGTGGCGCAGTGGTCGGAGGCGCCCTGCAGTACACACGTGGAATCGAACCTAACGCCCATGGCCAACCAAGCCTTCCATCCCTCCGAGGCCGGCAAATTAGTACCAGGCTTGTCTGGGAGGATGACAGCACTGGCTCGATACATCGGTAGGCCACCGCAAAGTTATTGCAAAGGCCAGATATGCATTCAATCACTTTCAAGCGATGCTTGATGAAGTCGAATGTATAACGCCTCACTAAGAGACTGATCACTGTCGAGAGCTTTATCCTTTATCGTTTTTATTTATGCTGAAGATTGCCTTTGCTAATGCTTAAGGACCATTTATGTTGTTCCAGTGTTTGAAAGATTCCAGAAAATAAACAGAATGTACGGCTGCTTATTGACTTCGTTACTTTTTTCTTTATAGAGTGTTATCTTATGTCAGAAAGATGTAATGATGGGAAGGGTTTTAAACGTATTTGTGATTTTCGACACTTTTAGCCGTCCGATCACGGAACTGTGATAGCGAAGTACCGACACGCCAATGCGGACCAGATTCACGAGGCAATCGATGTTGCCCTGGAGGCTCGCATACCATGGGAAAGGAAGCCATTGAAGTAACAAGTTTTGTAATTTGTAAGGAATAACTGCCATTTTGTCTTTTGGCAATCGCTGTTATTCGTTTAAATAACGCGGGTCTTCGTATGTTGAACATGTCGATTGATCACAGAATGGAAAAAATCTCGGTATACGAAGAGCCTAGATGTTTGTATTTGGTTTTGGTTTTATGTTTTTCGCCTGATTTCTGACTTTTCGAGTTTTCAGAGAACGAGCAGATATCCTACTTCATGCAGCGGATCTCGCAGGAGGAAAGTATCGAATGAAGCTGAATGCGGCGACCATGCTCGGACAGGGCAAGAGTATAGTGCAGGTGTTTTTCATCTCACACGTTTCCGAGTATATATATATATATATATATATATATATATATATATTCGCGCCTTCATTTCGGTTAATATTGTGATATCTAGAGCTGAATCTCTTGGTCCTTTATGAATATTACTACTAATCTCATCTTTTTTTATTTACTACCCACTATTTTTTTAATGGCAGGGTATTATATGAAATATAACCACAATGATGCTGAGATATTTGCAAAACTCCGGACTGCTGGTGTCTGTGGTGGGGACCGAACACGCTACTACCCTTTCCGGGGGCCAACGTGTTCACCACCATACAATGCTGATCTTTCGTTTCGCCTTTCTCCACCTCCACCGTGGTGGTGAAGGCGCTAGTCCAAAAAGGGTAATAACGTGTTCGGTTCCCACCGCAGACACCAGCGGTTCGGAGTTCTGTAAATATCTCAGCATCATTATGGTTATTATTACTGATTTTGTGGCATATATCTGTTCGTAAGCGAATATTTGTTTTCTTCACTCTTCGGGAAAGTGCATTATTCCTATTTATAGGCTGAGATTGATGCTGCCTGTGAACTCATAGACTTTTTTCGTTTCAACGCTATGTATGCATTGCAATTGGAGAAATACGAACCAATTAGTACAAAAATTAGCACCAATACGATGTGTTACCGCGGAATGGAGGTATTTGACTTCGTCAGAAAATTCGCTGTTATCTTGCCACTCGCTGAGCTGCAGATCCTGGCTCTCACTGTGAGCGCTCGATGGCGAAGATGTTGGTTTTCAGGGTTTCGTAGCTGCGATTGCACCGTTTAACTTCACAGCCATTGGCGGCAACCTGGCATCAGCACCTGCTTTGATGGTTAGTACTTAATTCCCTCATTTCTTGCATCCAATAGAAGTTAGGTTTCGACGGTTGTCTATTTTGGACAAAACAAAAGTTCTAGGGAAATGTCGTACTATGGAAGCCATCTGACACTGCAGTGCTTAGTAACTACATCATCTATGAGTTGTTAGAAGAAGCTGGTTTGTCATTTCGAACCTGTTCACTTTAACTTTGATTTGTGCACTACATCCACTACTATCCCGTTTAGGTATACCACCTGGTGTAGTCTCATTTTTGCCTTCGTCTGGGCCCGTTTTTGGAGAGATGATCACTTCGAACCCAAACTTAAGGTACTTTCCGCTATCAACACACAATTTTGTTGCTTATTTAGGATTAATAGAACTTATTTATTTAGTGCCATCAATTTCACTGGTTCAGTTGCAACATTCAAAACGCTTTGGCGAAATGTTGCTGAAAACCTGGATAAGTACGTCACATTCCCGAAACTTATTGGAGGTATACTTTGCATTTGGCCAACTCTTTGGGTTTTTTTCCTAAGTTGAGAGGACAGTGGAAATTCCAACCTTTCAGGAATGTCCTTCTGTCACTGTTCATAATGTGATTGTTTGTTTCTTCTCCTAGCTTTCGCGTTATGCGAGCAAGTGGAACTTTGCAACTTTTCCTTGTTGAAGAAAGGCTCAGCAACCAAATAACTCTTTAGCAAAATTGGATATCTCAACTTCAGAACAGAGTTACGCTGTTTGAAGAGTGAATCCTATTAAGGGGCCCAGCGAACTATTCGTGGCTAATATTATTTCAAATTATTGAGCTGACACGAGGTTGGTACAAAAATTTTTGTTCGGCTAATGTTTCGGCACGCCTTCGCCTTCTTCTGAGCTGCGTTGTACCGAATCTATGGTCCCAAGCTGGTCGTCCCTGTGATATGGGTGTTCGTAGTCGCTGGAACTTTAGCCGATCAATAAATTTTTATACCAACCTCGTGTTAGCTCAGGCATATGGAAAATCATTGATTATCGTAATCAAGGTTTAATAAAAGGTTTTTTAAGATATTCGTGGTTATTTTCTGACCAAAAACGATAGGAATAAAAGTTCTTGACCAAAGAGGGTGGTGCAGTTCATTTCGTTTTTATGCGACAAGAGCCTACTAAGCATCTGCTTTCCCGTGCAAAGGCACGATTGGACTTTTTTGCCGATGTCCTCGTGATACTCGCTCGATGAAACAGAATTCTAGGTGACAGACAATAAATGATTTCCATGCTAACCAAGTTACTGAAAATCAAAGAGCTAAAAATTCACCAAGGAACTCAGTAGCATTAAAAGCATAGTGAGAAGGAGCATGCAAGTAGCTTTCGTACAATATATAAAAGTGAAATGAATAAATAAGTATCTCCTTTGTTAATGGAAAAGTAATTTTTGGAATTTGACTTGTCATTCCTGTCAGCTTACTTCTGTTTGTGTGACGCAGTAGTTGGAGGCGCCCTGTGGTACACACAGGATCGATCCCCGTGCCCCAAGCCCACCAAGCTCTCCATCCCTCCTGGTCGGCAAATTGGTACCAGACTTTCCTGGGAGGATAGCACTGGCTCGAGACATCGGTAGGCCATCAAGAGTCATTGTAAAAGGCGAGATTTGCATTCAATCACCAGCGGTGCTTTATGACGTCGAATGCATAGCGCATTTCTCAGGGATTGCTCAAGGCCGAGAGTTTTATCATTTATCCTTTATACTACTACTTCCTACTTCTATATAAGTCACTCACTGTTCTGTTCATAGTGTTTGAGTTTTGCTAGTACAGTAACCCGAGTTTTTAGAATGTGGTGGAAAGAATTTCCATTTTGTACATCCTTCAGCCAATGCCGACGTAGTGGCAGCTGGTGAGTGTCATTTTTAAGATTTTCAGTTCTATTTTTTTGTACATGCGCCAAAATTGTTGCGATGGAATGATATGAATGTCCGATATTAAAGTAAACTCTTACTTGGGTTGGACTCAAATCTGACAATGTTCTCTGCATTTTTAGGATCTTTTTAGTGTAAATTATTTCCGTTCTATATGCCATAGTGTTTTAAGCTCTCACCACCTATTCAACATTGTTCTCCCCACACTCTTCTCTTTTTAGGTACTGCTCGTTCTGCTTGGGAATATGGCGGTCAGAAGTGTTCTGCCTGCTCGCGCATCTACATCCCAAAGAGCCGTTGGGACGAAATCTTCCAAAAGATTAAGGAGATTCACAACCAAATCAAGCTTGGTGATGTGAGTCTACAAATGTTCACATGATAGTAGTACATGATATTCATTTTATTAAAATAACACCTCGTGTTTGCTGAACGGAAGTAGAAAGATTTATTCATTTTATTGTTTTTGTGATTCGAAATGTAGTCGGCGCAGTGAGTAGAAGTGCCCTGAAATACACGCGGGGTCGTTAATTCGATACCGTGTCCGGTCTTATCAAGCTTTCCATTTCTCTGGAGTCGGAAAATCGATACCAGACTAGTTTCGGAGGGTAGCAGCAGTAACTTGGCGCATCGATAGGCCACTGTAAGTTATTGTATAGGCCAGATATTCACTGGTTCGCCTCTAATGATGCTTTGTGAAGTTTAGTGCATGGCCCTCTCTTCAGGGCTTGATCAACGCGGAAAGCTCGATCCTTTGCTCGGAATATATTAAACATAGCGTATTTTCTTTTTAAATCCTTCTGAAATCTTCAGGTTCGAGACGGAACGATTTTCTTTTCTGCAGTGATCGATAAAAAGTCTTTCAATAATATTAAGAGCTATATAGGTGGTTTTTTGCTTTAGTTTAGGAGAAAATTTTTGACTTTCGGTGTTATTTTAACTTTTTTTTAGAATATGCGAAAAGAGGTGGTGATGGGGCTAAGATTCTATTAGGTGGTAACTGTGACGATTCGAAAGGATATTACATTGATGCTACACTCATACGGGTTACAAATCTCAGGAGCAGACTCATCAGCGAGGTAGGTTGAAACTTTTGTTCTCCAACGCGAGTATAAAATTAAGTCGTAGTTTTAAGGAAATATTTGGGCCCATCTTGACTGCTTATGTTTACGACGACGACAGTGTGGAAAGTATTCTTAGCTCTATAAAGGTTTGAATTTCTATTTCCTTACCTTTTAGACAAAACTGGGTCTACACTCATTCTCTACCTTGTTTTGTATTCAGCATTTATTTGCCTCTTTACTGAATCCTGTGAAGCTGAACATTAAGTAATCGAATTTGCTGGCTGCTTAATATACTTTACTGTTTATCTAGGAGCACAGTGTATATGGGCTTACTGGTGCTGTATTTTCGGAAGACAAGGATTTCTTATATCAGTACGTGGTATTTATAAGACGAGTGCTATTTAGTAACCATCGGCTTTCTGAGAGATATTTTTGTTAGTAATAAGTAGAATTGTGTAGACATTTTCCTATTTTTAGTGCTCGCGATGTGTTGCGTGATGCGGTTGGAAACATGTACCTCAACGATAAGTCCACTGGTTCCGTTGTAGGGCAACAACCGTTTGGAGGAGCTCGTATGTCGGGTAAGTACCCGTTTTGAACAACCTCTGCTTATTTTATGGTTGTTTTCGCATAATACCCTACCGTGAAAATTGTAGTAGGCTGTAAATAAAATGTTCACATTGTGATTTTGACTACACCGTCGGCTTAACTAGGTTCAGTGCCGATTTGGGCTCTCCAGATCAATCCTGTTGATAGTTGATGACTGATGGCACTGCTGAATAGAAAGCTAGCTGAAAAAAAGGCGAAGCGCAGGACCCGCATGGTGTGGTGGTGAACGCGGTAGCCCCTGGAAAGGGTAATAGCGCGTTCGCTTCTCACCGCAGTCACCTACGTCCTGAAGTTCTGCAAATAACTCAGCATCGTTGTGGCTGAATCACTCTCAACATATGTTTCCTTCTAGCGTCTACTCGTTATGGGGTGTTACTGTCTGTCATTGTTGTAAAATATCATGTACTAAGTATCGTGCCGTCGTTCATTGTTCACCTTTTCTTAGGAACTAATGACAAAGCAGGAGGCCCTCACTATGGTATTCGATGGTCGTCTCCTTTAACTATCAAAGAGACAACTGTGCCTCTTACTGATTGGCGCTATCCGTCAATGGATTGATGATGATTCTACGGGAATGTTTCATATTTTTAAGATAATTTATTGTAATGACAGCGTTGTTGAAGACGTAAGTTGTCGCAACCACCACTTTATCATAATTAATTTACCCGTTGGGTATTTAATTTTCTCTCTATAGGTGGTTTAAATGTCATTCGGAGAAATTCGTAGTGTATAAAGCTTTGGATAGTTTAGATCCGGTGTTCAATCGTATCTGGTCACAATACAGCTTTTGACTAGGTCTCACGTAATTCCTCATATTGTTTGTGTTCTATTATTAGTGGATTTCTGTATGAATTCATTTTGACGTACAAGAATGAAGCTTTTATCGTGCATTTGTATCCAGAATTTTTTCCGGTTTTGGTCGTGCCAACCAACTTTTGACTTCTTTCTGTTTCCGCTGTTTTGTTTCAGAAAAAGTTTAATTTAATCTAGTTTAGCATGGGTTTTGCCATACAGGACTGGAGCAATGTTTCCTTTGAGAGTGAGTTTTGGCATATAGATTCTAAAAATGGTTTTAACTCTGTTCCATCTCCTATATCTGTCATAAATTTTAAGTGGTCTATTTTACTGAAGGCAGCATGTCTTACTTGGATAGTTGCATGGCCGGTCTGCTCTCAGGTCGTCGCCACCACAGGCAGTCGCCGACTGTGGATCAGGGGGATATGCCACCATGCGACTGTGATACGAGGACGGTAGTGGACCCTGGTATTGGTTTACTCTTAGCTTGGCTTCCTGATGGAAACGCCGGATTCTTTCTTAGCCTGGAAGATCCTATTGGAGGTATGAATTCCCCCGCTTTACATCGCAGTCCGACACCCAGGAACATCACCCAGCCACGATGAGGCGATATTAACTGTTGTGAGGAAGCCAGCATATGAGACCCAATGATTTGTTATGGTTCTTGCCATAGGAAGTTGAATTTATCTGCCGTTGAACAGTCTTAATTGGTGTTAAGGATGCTTAGATATGAGCAAAACTCTGAATCTCAATTAGCAATCGAGCACGCGATTACCCCGTTACTGAGGACCCACTTGCTGTGGACTACACCAGCCGAGTTTTACTTTTATCTCAGCATCGTTGTTGATGTTTTGACGTTGTTCTTTCCCATGAGACGTGTATAGCGCAGTGGATAGAGGAGCTCTACAATGCGCAGTGGATTGATGCTGCTTACTGAGCTCACCAAGCCTTCCAACCTCCCGGAGTCGGCAAAATTGTAACAGATCTATTTAGGAGGATAGCAGCACTGACTCGGTGCATCGGTAGTCATCGGTAGTCTCCACTATGAGTCATTATATAGGGCAATTTTACATTCATTCACCCCAGGCGATGCTTAATGAAGTTGAATGCATGGCGCTTTCCTCAAGAATTTGTCAACGCTGAGAGCTTTATCGTTTTATCTTTTGAAGGTGTTAGGTGGCTATACTTGTCGATAGCTCCGATAACGGTATGTCCCTATTTTTATCTTTATCTTGCCGTGCGAAGGGATAGACAGCAAATGAAACTTGAAACTTGATTAACATGTTGTGTGTCTATATACTATGATTTTTATCCTACTTATTTTTTCTCTGTTCGCATCTTTTTCGTTTTCGCTGGTCGACGTCAACTTCGAGAGTGGCGAGAAAGAAACAGTCGACGAAGTGAAGAAGTTGTTGAGTTATGGGAACATGTTGTAAGCCGGTCATTGTCTTTCCTCGGTGATGAACTGTGGATAATATATGAGCAGGTGTGCGTTCTATTACTTTAAAAGTCTGATTGTTGTTGGTAGCTACTGTTTGAAGGCGTGACCTATCTTTGAGGTATGTGTGGCCGCTTTGGACTGCGCAAGGTTAGATCTTGCTGGTGAATGCATATCAGCCTTGAATAATCGTTTTCCTCGAAGCAATCGTGTACTGAGATTACAAGCTATGCACTATGAGGCAGCTGAGCAGTTCGTTGTACTTGTGAAATTCTTTTTTTTTTTGGCTATCTTAACTATATGGGACTACTCTATCCCTTGCTGGAGGAGGGAGACATAGTGTCCAGTTGTTTCCCTTCCTCCGATCGCCGGTGGAGGCGCGTGGCCCCATCTGTTTGCCGTGTATGGGGGTCAGTGCCTGTTAGGACGACTTCAGCTCATGTAGGGTCCTTTGAGGACCACACTGGCGCATCTGTTTGTGGTGATCCTTATTACTTAGACCTCACCTGAGCCGAAATCGACCTGAAAGGCAGTGGCTCCCATCCGCGGCAAGCAGATAGGGCTGCGTACCTCCACCCGCGAGCAGAGGAGCGGCGTCTTGACACTATACCTCCCATCCACAACGAGCGATAGAGTCCTATTTTAGCTATATTTTGAGAATACTGTTTGCGTGTATTGCTGTCTGTAAAATGACAAGTTGACGCTAAATATTTGTTTTTCACTTCTTACGTTTTAAGTGATTCCACCCTTTTCTATCTTATACTTGTTTAGATATGACAGTGCTTTGACTCTCTATGAGCGCCTTATAGAGGACGACCCCACTAACAATGTTAGTTCTTATTTTTCTTTCCACTTGTCTGATTATTAGAGCCGTCTTGTGTTTACTTTGGTTACTCTAATGTCAGCAGCATTTAGTCTTTCCGAAAAAGAAAGGTTGCCCTTTTGCTGGCACAAGGATTGCGACTTGATGCTATTCGTGAACTTAATGGGTATCTGAAGGTGTGTGTGTGCGGTTTTGAATCAACAACTCTTTCTTAATGTCGAATTTGTTCATATTCTAAGCCGTTGAGGTGTTCCAGATATTTCTTAATGATTCCGAGGCTTGGCTACAGCTTAGTGACTTGTTCCTTGCGGAGTCCGATTTCGCCAAAGCTGCGCACTGTTTAGAAGAATGTGTTCTTGCTGCTGTGAGTTGTAGTATTTCATTTACGTGTATGAATGCTTTCGCTACCACATGGATCGCATGATTCATGTATGATGTAAGATATTTTAACCTCTCAACTTGAAACATCCGTATCGTTCCGCGTAGCAAGCTTAATTATTTGTAATACTTCCTTGGATACTTGGAGGATCCGTCCTCATTGGTTGTGCGGACCCAGCGCAATCTCCATTTTTTCGGAGTTTTGCTGATTTAGCTATTGTGCTTCCCTGGAGTTCTCAGGTCAGCCAAACCAATGTCTGCCCCAGGTCGTCACCACCACATACAGCCGCCGCCCTTGTGGATCAGAGGGAGATTTGTCACCATGCCACTAAACTGATACCAGGACGGTGGTGGATCCTGGCATTGGTTTACTCTTACCTAGGCTTCCTGATGTAAACGCCGGGTTCCTTCTCAGTTTGGGAGACCCTGCCGTGGAGATGAATACTCCCTCTATCGCAGCCAGATATCCAGGAACATTTCCCAGCGATGAGGCGGTAAACCTTTAAGAGAAATTATTTGTGATGACAGTAGTTAAATCTATTGATTTGATTTGCAGCCTCTCAATACTCTCTATCTACGACGTCTGGGTGATATACGATACAGTCAAGGTGGCCTAGAGAATATCGAACTTGCGCGTGCATATTATGAACAAGCGGCTAAGCTGAACCCTGCTGATCTTCGTGCATTATATGGGATCGTTCTTGTAAGTGACCCACACTTCTAGTCCAATGAAATCAATTTTTTATTTTATATTCTTTGTTTTTAGTGCTCCACCTACCTAGCAAATCATATGAAAGGCTCAGGAGGGGAAAAAAAGCGGAACTTATTGGCTTCCGGTGGAGCAGCTGCCGAAAAGATACTTGCTAGATATGAGGAGGTATGTGTGTTTGTAGTAGTTCTCTGGAATGAGATCTATTTAGAGTTTCAAGAGTTATAGTTGTGTTTACATTTTCATATGTCGTGGTGCTGTTGTGTTAGAAAACATCTCGTTGTAGGGTGACAAAGTCTCACCGGCTCAAAATGATCAATGGATAGCCTATTATTTCGACTTGATAACATATGAGTAATCTTCAAGGAGCTTTAAAACATCGACGAAAACCATAACCCTCAGAATCGGTCAAATCCTTCATTGCAACGGGCTTCATTGATGTCGAATGAAGAAATGGCTAATAGACAACTTGGAAGGGGCTTGTTCCTCTTAATATGGAACACTAGCACAGTTGTTTCTGACGCTTGTTTTCACTATCTTCTACAGTTCGCAAATTAAGTCAAGTATTAGCTGATCGCACTGTAAAAACGGAATAGCAAGTAGAATAATATGTCCCCAGCATATTCCCCATGGTGCGATGATTCCATTACGAGAATTCAATAGCGTAGGTTTTGTCGTTTAGTGTCCATCACGTGAACTGTTATGAAGGCATTTGCAGGAAGCTATGCTTAGTGAATAATATCCTTATGAAATTGTCAAAAACTCCAGTTTCTGAATAGGAAAGTATAATGGATGCGAGAGGTCGAAGTGAAATGAGAACTTTCTCACTGGGTTTCTTTGAAGCTCGCCCTTTCCCGGTCATTCATTTATGAAAGAAGAAACAGGGAAAATTAACACTGTGTAGTAAAATCCTCAAATGATACGAACCATAGGGAAATCAGTTACATTTTCACTGATAAAAGGTGAAATCTTTCCTGTGACCACCGTTAATGCCAACAATTTTGTTGAATCCGATCATGTCACAACTTGGCAAGAGACTCTGTTCACCACCAAAGAAGGTGTGGACCGCTTGTGAATGGTTCTGAAATCGTTTTTATATTTGATTGGTAAGTATAAGTATGCAAAATCGAGGACGGTTAGCAGTTGGTCAAAAAACTCTAATGCTGTTGCATATCCCACGGTTCATTAATCATGTTCGGATCACACTGCCACAAGAATGTCACGCGAAAGGGGTTCTACTGCATCAAAAAGTTTACCCTATTTGGAACTCCATGTTCGATGACTTTTACCAAATGACATTTACAGAAAGAAATAACTCTCAGAGCCATCTTAAAAAAAGAACCAGTCTAATGAAATGTCTTCGTGGTTTTTGCGAATGTAATATTCTGCTGCCGGCCATCTTTTTTGCTATTTTAACCAACGTAGCGCGGAATTCGTGATATAAATCTACTGCAATTTTTTGTGTTTTATAAACCCCTGGAAGCGTATTTTCGAAAATAGTGGATACAAGGCAGACCTCGCAGATGGCTATACTGCTCACGAAAGGTAACCGAAACTGTTTTTGCAGCTGCCGTGCAATTTTCTTGCTTGCTGCAGTTTGCTTTTCTCTATAAGCTCTTGTCAGCGACGTTAAATGAAGTCAAGTAGATTAAAAATTATGCGTCCTAATGGAGATGGAATAAATTCTGCTTATCTACAGGCCTATCAAGTGCTAAGTCCCTGAGAGGCTCTTGTTGTCGACAAATTATCGTAGTTGTCAAAAAACCGAAGTCGTCGCTGATTAGGTGCACATCCTATCTGCAACTAGGTATTCAGTGGCTACTAAGCGGAATTCGGAGATCAGTACGAACAAAACTGGCACTTCTGAACATTTCAGGTTGAGTCAACCGATGCAAATCCTAGCATATCTCTTGTTATGGTTGCAGTAAAGCAGATGAGAACTCAACTGGCCACCTCAAAATAAGTTTTTGACATTTTCTAGGGTTTTCTTTTCTTTCTTATCCAGCTCATCTTTGCATTGCTGTTGGATTAACATCGTGAAGCTTGTTGTGAATGGCAGCCCACTTACTGCTGCTGCTTATTGGTGTCTAATCTCAGCTCTGGCCTTCCGAACATTTTTGTTGTATAGAATTTGTTTCGTGTATTGTGTAGCTTTTTTGGAACATTGATGGTAGATAGGTGTATCCCTTACTAAAACATTCCAAAATTCTGTGAAAAAGCTGTGTTATATAATCTTGTGTTCTTTGATTGCCTTCTTCTTATCCCTTCTTAGTTGTTTTCTTCATATGAATTACTTATCTCAGTTCGTTTTAAATTTGTTCTTCGGCGGAGTTTCAATATCACTGACATGAGAGATCCTTTTCTGTTGGCTTTTTTATATGAATGATAACAACTAATGCAACTGGAACGATATGCAGAGGGGCAGGGTTTGTTTTAAAAAAGGGAACACCGGACTTCTAGTTGGAAATGCTTATCTACGTAGGTTGTGCGTTTTTTCTAGATGTTGCATGAGTAAGCTATTATTAAGCACTGTACAAATATGTTAGAGATAAATGAACAAGTAATTTGACTGTTCTGCAAGAGTTTGAACCACAACCGGAGAAATTTCTGAGAGAAAGCGACAAGGTTACTTTTTGTTTGGTGCAAATGTGTTTTACACAACACCTTGCCGTGAAAAAGTAATGGGCAATAGGTAAAGAAGTTATACACTGTGATTTTCACGTCTACTATGCGGATACCAGCACTTCTAATATTCGATTTGTTTCCTTGCATCCATTGTCCACGAAGATCTCTCACCTTTTCACGTGTGGCTTCGGCTGCTTCTTGAGGATTTTCATTCAGTCTTGAATGCTGATCGAGCAATTCTCCCTGGAGTCCTGAGATAGCCGGGCTGGAGTGTTCCCAATTAGATTGCAGAGAGTAATTTTTTCCCCAGACAAGTCCACTATCGATTTCTCGACCTCGGAGTGCTGAGAGGCTTGGTTGAGCCGGAGCGGAATCGAGCTAGTACCGTACTCGTGATGGCAGACATCACTACCACTATGCTATCCGCCCTTTATTGTTCCGCATTATTCGTCGTTTCGACTACAACCTCAGCTTAACTGGATTTAATGAAGATTTTTGCTCTCCATGGTCGTTTCCGTTGACGGGTGATAGACGATGGCACTGTTAGGATAATATGACTAGCTGTGAGAGAAAGGCAGAACGAGAGCTTCAGTGGTGCCGTGTGTAACACGTGAGCTCTCGGAAAGGAAAAGTAAACAATTTGCTAGAATTTCATAAAGGAATGCTTTGTGTGTACCTAAAAAAAAATGACAGTCATCAAGAAAAGACTGCAAGGTCACTGTCATATGTTTGATTTGAGGACTGGAGACTGGTGTATGAAGGAAGGCAAGAAATTTACAGCTTAATGAAAATTCGTTGGAATTTGCGTAGCTGAAGTTCTATAATGATGTGCAAGCAAACGTGTATATGTAAAGAATCATTACTAGAAGAAGAGTGGACGTTCTTAAAAGGTGGATTGGCTTTTGTAGATACCGAGTATTTATTCTTTTCGCTACCTTGAACCCTTCCAGAGGTTTACTGCTATATCATGGCGACTGTCTGGGTTGGTGACGACCTGAGAAAAGCTTTGGCTAGCTTGACCCAGACTCCAGGAAACCACAGTTGCTAAATCAGCAAAATTCCTGCCTCAATACTCCGTACATTCGATGCTGCCGCCTACAACGTTGGGCGGTGACACAATCGGTGAGAGGCGATGAAATCTCGGGTTGCACAGGGCCTCATTGGAAACGGACAAAACGGGCATGCCCACGAGACGCCACAGAAACTGCTTCTTAGTCTGAACCTAGAAAACCAGAACAGTCTCTTCAGACATAGACTTTCGTAATCTTCTTGAGGATGCTAGTTGGATCAAATTCCATGTGATCGCTATGGAAGAGAAATTGATGAAGGAGGAAAAGTTGTTGGAAGCATCTTAAAAATGATCTGGCCTGAAGAACTGCCATGGGGATCTATGCGACAGTAATGTTCCGCTGTCCACCCTGATGAACGAAGATGGTACTAGCACTACCTCTCTCCATGATTTGGAATTTATAACGGAAAAGTTTTCCATCCATACCCGAAATCCCGACTGGTGAAACACTTCCCTGGATTCTACCATTTGATATTCGAGTTGAGATAGAAAGCATGAACAGTGGCATAGCTCCAGGATCCGATAAGATAACCGCCGATGTCTTTAGAGCTGAAGGCCACAAGTTACATGTATTGCTCGCTACCCCTTAGTTCTCACTCATGGACGGATCTCGTGGCGCTTATTCGCGAGTCAACGTGGTACGTCCTCAGGTGGCGGATAGGGAGTTAGTCGCGGACGAAAAGCGACCATTGCTTCCCTGAGACGCAGATGGATCCAGGGGATGGACTCCCTGTTTCTGCTGCGCTAATTTGGCACATACTTTCTGTATTTTCTAGCCGTATTCATGCATGCGTGTGTGTGTGTGCGTTCTCGTTTATGCGGATTGTATTTTATGAGTCAATTGGGCCAAAAACCTGCAATCAAGTAACAGGAGAGTATATGAGAAGCGGTTAGGAGTCACCTCCAACAAATAGGCTTCCCGTCTACTCTGAGAGACTGGTAAGCTAACCGTGAGTATACGCAGAACCCACGTTGAAAGCTCAGCAAGCTATAGGCGGATAACAAAAAGCTAAACTCAGTAAATTAAACGGGCCTTATTCCCTGAGTTTGACTGAGTCGCCGATATGGCAACGTTGGGTAGGACGAGTACGAAGAGGCTGCTAAAATCTCAGGGCCACTCTGGACCGCCTGAATCGCAAAGGACTATGGTGAGGATCAGTACCTACAATGTACGCATACTTGCATTTGAGTCCTCGACAGAACTTGATCATGCAGGCGAGAATGATAAGGTAAAACGTCATCGGACTGGCGGAAACGAGAAGATGCCACCCATTCAGCGGCGTCTATGACACTGAAGATGAACTGTGCCTTGGAACATGCAAAACAGAGGCGTCGGCGTTCTCGTCATTGCCATGAACATCGGTTCATTCGAACAATTAACAACCCGAATCGGACGTTTACGATTGAAGAGATGTGGATCAATAACGACTTTGACAACTTTCGTTTTTACACACCGACATCAAACTACGACGATGTCGAAGCGTTCTATGTGGACTTGTAGAAGTTCTACATAGAAGACCATACATTTTTCAAG